TGCCCCTTCTTCCAGAGGTGATTAACTCTCCACTTTTCCCTGAGTCCCAGCAATGATTCAGGCTATCTCTTGAACAAAAATATTGATGCTTTGTGTTTGTATCAGAACCATCAACTTGATGGTTCTGAGACACTAGTTTTGTATGACTCAAAGATCATCCTCAGTCCATTTGAGGTGGACTGTCAGGCACGGGTAGCTTGGGTAGCTTGGTGTCCTGGAGAGTACATTTTATTCCCAGAAATGCAACTGCCCTCCAAAGCAGAAAGGGCCTGAACTGTGTTCACTGTGAAGATAAGTCCTTAGGACATAAAAAACACTTGTAAGTTTGCAAGCCTCCAAGAATAATTCAAAACATCTCAGCCTGCCAAAAAGGGACGGTTTTGTTTGCTTTTCTTGAGTCTATCCACATTTATTTACAACATAGACAATCTCTACCACAGGGTAGATTTAGACTAGATATAATGAAGACATTTTTCACAATGAGGTGGTGAAACACTGGCACAGGTTGCCCAGAGAGGTGGTAGATGCCCCATCCCTGGAAACATTCCAGGTCAGCTTGGATGGGGCTCTGAGCTACCTGATCGAGTTGAAGATGTCCCTGCTCATTGCAGGGGGGTTGGACTAGATGACCTTTCAAGGTCCATTCCAACCCAAACCATTCTATGATTCTATGATTGATTCTATGAAGGGGAGTTTTTCTAGAATTTTACTAGAATAAATTGAGTGTTCAGGGCAGAGCAGCAGATTGAAATCTCAGCAGAGTTGATCTTACTGTTCTAAGCAATAAGAAAAAAAATGGTGGAATCTCACAGCTGCATGGAGCAATAAGAAAAAAAATGGTGGAATCTCACAGCTGCATGGAAATTTGTGGAGACAAAGGAGAAATACAAGGGGCATAACCAGCACAGCTATAAAAAAACAAGGAAACTATCTAATGTGAAGTTAAAATATGCAGGATCCATACTGAGATATATCTAAAGCCTCAGTTGCTTTACAGTGGATAGAAGTTATTGTCCTCCTCCTAAATCATATGAATCTCGACATTCTCATGTTAGGTGCTTCTGGTAGACAAAAGAGGACACTTCCAGTTTAGTTAAAGTCTACAACTGCAAACAGAGAGCAAACTGTTAGGAGATATAGCTTCATTTGTACTTTTATAATCACTGCATAATTCTCTAGCTCTAACTCCAAGACAATGAAACTTTATTACAAACTGTCTGCTCTGAAATAAATTTCTTTAGTGTTGCATCAGGACAGTCTCGACCTTAGACCCTGGACAGTGCAAGATATTTCATCTATGAAAAGTATTTTTCTACACTGACATAACTATATTAACAGGACTACAGACAGGCGGAACATTAAGCAGAGAATTTAGGTCTTATTTAACGAGAGAAAACATTCTGCTCACCTGTGGATGCTTTCAGTCTTCTGATATAATCAGACCAAAAGGAACAGTCTGCTTTTTTCAATCCTTTAAGAGTTGGCAAGGAAACAGTGAACTCCTTGTAGTTATCACCATCATCATTTGGCAGATACATAGGCCAGGGGGGCATCACCCCTGACATTCTTCTTGAGAAACTATGAGGGTAGTTTGGATTTCTAAGGGAACAGGAGAAATGATCATTAGAATACAAAGACATGAACAGTAAAATGCAGAAGGAGATCGGCTGGGTCAAGGAAATGTATAATCAGTCCCTCTGACCAGTAGAGTTCAAATTCAGTCCACACTGGTGAATCATTCACGGTGTCTCACCCAGCAGTAACTTCTTAGTCCAGTTCACTTTCCTAGGGAACAGGTACACAGAACCTGTATAGACACAGGCTCGTGAACACCCTCAACAAGCCTTGTTCTCAAAGCAACCCAAGGGACTCTAAAAACCACGTAAAGTCGCAGTTCCCACACTAGCTTTCCAGAGATACTCCTCATTTTCAAGCATGACCACAGCACAGTAAAGCTGAGGGTTATTCGCAGGGTAGTTGGGAAAGGATGCACTGTGTCTTCATGTGGTTTCCCCTTTCTTCTGGGAATAATGGAATTCTTAGCCAAGACACTTCAGAATTGGGGTCCTAGAACTAAGCTCTGGAAACAACACCGAGACATTTCACTGTGTCTTCATGTGGTTTCCCCTTTCTTCTGGGAATAATGGAATTCTTAGCCAAGACACTTCAGAATAGTGAGAGACATTTGTAGCCCCAAATATATCTAAGTAGAATTTGCAGCTGCTGCATGGAGATAAAATTCTTATTACTTCTAGCTAAGTGTCACAGTACAAATCTTTGGTATCTGCTTGACAACTTGGCCATGACTTTCCAACAGTGTTGACCAAAATTCCCTCTGTAGGATTACAAATTACTAGAGGAAATGGAGGCCACTTGAGTGAGGGCAGGATCTGGACTACATTCCCTCTACTCCTTGCCCCCTTCCCAGTCATTGCAATTCTTAAATGTTACATACTTACCCAGAGTTTATAAAATTGGAGATATACTGCATAATTTTCAAGGAAAGGCTCTTTTCTTCCAGAGTAAATTGTTCTTCATACTTTGGGTAGAATGGCAGTCCAAATGCATACTGAACATCCAGTAAGAGCTCCTGATCTGAACTAAAAAAAAAATTTATATAAAGATAATTAAAATCATGTATTTATTTGGGGGAAAAAGGGAGCTAATTTAATTCCGGTGATAAAGCAAAGTTTTAAATAATTAATGACCATTAAGTAGACTGTGGTGAGCTGTGGGGCTTCTTCAGATCAGAATATAAAAGAGCAAGCAATAACAAGGAGAATTTGCCATTAAGTTAATGTAGGGTCTTTAACATATGTTACAAGAAAAACTGTGGAAGACAGAAGGGCATATTTTCTACATTAACTGGGCATATAAGAGAAAGTGATAGAGGGAGAAAGCCGCTTGGCTACTCCTTAAATACATCTTAAATTTTCTACAGATTTTCACTAAAATTAAATTCAGAAAGTGGAAGCAAGTGGTGACATGGAATCTGGCAGCCATGATGGAAGGTTAATTATGGTTTATTTCACAGATTTGGAATAACATCCTGGCCCTTCCTAACAGCAATTGGAGTTTTTTCCATTTACTTCATTGGGGCCAGCATTCTGCCCCAAATCTTTGGATAAGGAAAGACGTAACAGGAGATGTTTATGAAGATTTTTCTTAGACATAGTTTTAATGTAATTTCTCTGCTGGCTGTGTGGTTTTGGTTCATACAGTCTGTTCTGCTCAAGTTTTATATGGCAGTCAAGTCAAAACAGCTTGAGATAATCACCTAGATCAGATTTAAGAATTGTTTACTTTCATGTAATAATTAACACATATAGTAAGGAATATTTCAACACTCAGAGACAAGACTGGCCAGGCAAGGCAACACTTGTAGGACCTAGCAGCAAAGGTTACGCAACGTAACATACTCAAGTCCTGCAGAAAAACAGCGGCGAACTTCTACTAATAAAAATTATAACTAAACTATGCTCAACACCCAGCTTTGAACCACAGCTCAGAAGGAGACATTTCTGGTATGGAGTCCAGTTGCGTTTTCTGTATCCCACATCTAGACAAAGATCTTATTGACTTGGTTAAATGCTGCATGAAGGCAGACAGCATCAGGGGACCTGGGAGAAGGAACAGATGTATGTGAGACTAGGACAAACAAATCCCAGATCCACTCAGCAAGATTTCATCTGCAGTAGCTGCAGAGGTTGTTGTTGAAAGGTGGCACAACTGAAACTATTTTATCTTTGGACATGAAATGCAGCAGCATTGATATGACTCTTGATACCGCCTCTAATAGAATAAGGCTTGTAGTTCAAACCATTATGGGCAGGTGGACTGAAAGCAAGATGACTCCTTTACATTTTATGAGTGGTGGCACCAAAGCCTCTGTTTTGAAAAACAAACACACAGCCCTCTAAATGAAATACATCTTTGGTTGTATTTTCCTTAGTCTTATCATAATACCTCAGTAATACTTTGCATCTGGAAAGTGAATTATTCACAGATTATTCACCAAAAAAATGTAGAACTGAAACAAGATTAAAGCATATTTTTCTTCCCCAAATATTTATAGAAGGATTAAGCAAGATCATAGTTTAATAATTTTGCTTTAAAAATAATTTGCTTGGCCCAGTGTATTACAGCAATGTTTAGTGTCAGTATTGCAGCAAAGATACTATATACTTAAAGGAGCTGTTTTCTTTCCAATAGAGAGTCACTTTTGAACAGAATAGAGGACATGAAATTAGTTAAGATGTAACAAAGGGACAAATGTACCCATGTAGGGAAGGCATAGCAAAAGTGAACGTTGGTCTAAATCTAAAACAAGTGAGCTGGGACTGAGGGTTTCCCCTCAAATGAGGCTGTGTTCTCAGCCCTCATGTTTCTAGAGGTAAAACCTGTTAAGGTCACAGCCCAGGCTAAAATTCAGCAAACTCCAAAACAGAGAAATTATTACAGAATCACAGAATCACTAAGGTTGGAAAGGACCTTCAAGATCAGCAAGTCCAACCATTAACCCAATGCCACCATGCCTGCTAAACCATGTCCTGAAGCACCACATCCACACGTTTTTTGAACACTTCCAGAGATGGTGACTCCACCACCTCCCTGGGCAGCCTGTTCCAATGCCTGACCACCCTCTCAGTGAAGAAATTTTTCCTAATATTCAATCTAAACCTCCCAAATTATAATTTGGAATAATTATTAAACTTCCAAATTATTAGGATTGAAATTATTTGTACAACTGTAATGGGTTTGATACAGAGACACAAAGTGGTACAAAACTCTACACTTTTATGGACTGTTTTCAATATTTCTGGTTGATACTACCACACTCCTGCCAGCGAATATCAGTAGTAAGAGGATGAGAAAGAAAAGATAAGGCTAAGAGGGAAAAGAGGCACCTATATATCTGTGCACAGAACAGCAGTAAAGACGACTGTGAAACATCTAGATGGCAGCTAGATGGAAAATATCAGGGGAATAATTCTGCCTCCTCCCTCGAACTCTGATAATAATCCTTTACTGCTGGAAGGGAGTGCAAAATGGACAGAAACACCCAAACAAGGATTTTGGAGTCTCGTAGGAGCTCTGAGCATACTCAAGGTATGGCAGGTACCTGGTACCACTAACATCACTAACACAAACACTACCTGGTATCACCAGGTAGTGATACTGTTTTCATTGGAGGAAAAGCGGAGCGAGCGAGCGAGCGGAGTGACAGATAAGCATGTATAGCTTTGCTGTTGTACCCTGCTAGCTCTGCCCGGAGGTTTTTGTTTGCTGAGCTGCTCCGAACTGCACTCCTGAAACCCATATAGGTGCCACATAGGTGACTCAACAGCATCAGCCCTAAATGGGGAAGTGCAGTGCCCACCAACTGGTGGACTTCAGAGGACAGCGTGGTAAAAGGGAAGACGGCAGAGACAATGGCAAAAGGGATTTTTAAAGTGTTTTTAAGGAACTCAAACTAATAGCAGCAAACTTCCCTGACAGAAGTCTCTTTTCAAGGAACAGATCTGCTATTTTAATAACAGTGGTGAATGTAGTTATGTGTAAGGATGAAATCTTGGCTTTAGTGACTTCATGGGACTAGTACTTCATGCAACGGTATCACTTCAGATCTTGTATGTATACCTTTTCTTTTTAAGATGTCAACATTTTTAGAAACAGATCCACAGTTCTTATGTGACAGTATGACAGACTGGTAAATTGAGCCATGGGGAAGCTAGGAGCCAGACCCTACCACCTCATTCACACTAAAGTGAGCTCCCCTTGGAGAATTATTACTTTGCTTCAGAAGGAGGCACTGCTTTAGGTCAGTTATCCAGTTTACAGAAAAACAGGTAGTAACATTAGAAACTTTGTGACAATCATAGCCAGCAATTTAACAGCAGACCCTGAAATATCACTTGCTGGGAATTTTCATTATACAGTGCCAACCCATTTAATTGGGAAGGTATTGGTTCTGAGAAAAATTTTCCTTAAGCCTGAGATGGAGTTTCCATTTAAATATTTCCAAGTAAGAGAGAAAGGGGTTTCTTAGCCATCAGATACTCCACTGCTTTTTCTATAGAACTGTGGCTACTTTCACATACAAAAGAACAGCTTCAACAGGGAAGAGAATGTCAGAATTTAGAACAAAAGTACTCAGGCTACAGTTGTTTTGGTTCAAATTCTTGTTCCAGATCAAACAGAGCATAGATATAAATCCAGATTTCCAACAGCTGAAGTGAATATCTTAACCACAAGCTTTTGGAACAGTAAAAAAAACAAACCCCAAAGAACAACAACAAAAAAAAAACCCAATGCAGAAATCCTCAAAAATTTTCTTTGCAAAATGGGATGTCATTAATGGCTATCCATAATCATGGCAGTCAGGACAGAAGAATATGAATTGGCAGACCACCATGCTATTCTACAATAGGGCTGAATGCACAACTTAGAGCTGGGGCTGCAGAGACCTCATCACACGGTGACCCATCGTCAGTTAGGACACACATCTCATTTTGAACTTTGTCCTTGCTCTAGATCTGGCTAATTGTTTTATACTGGAAACTCATTTTTATGATTAATGACTGACTGTAGCCTAACACTTCTCTCTTTTTTTTCTTTCATTTAAAAAATGTAACTATTTCAATTAATCTTGAAGCCTTTTGAGTCACAGCTTCTATTCTTAGTTGGCTTAATGCAGTTTTTGGTTCTTTTTTAAAATTCCACACACAGATAGAAGCCAATGTAAATTAAGTCAAAATTCAAATGACAGCCTATACAATACCAAAATACCAAACTTCCCACTGCTATCCAATCATTTAAATTTTAAAATAACAAGATAAACATAACTCTAGCTAGAGTTCAGCCAAAGTTACCAGCAAATTACTCAGGATGAAAACACAAGTTGAAGAAGAATCCATTCATCATTAGTGAACATACCAAAGAGATATTTATTTACCAATATTTTTAGCTGCATTGCCTAGTAAATACAGATATTTTAGTCCACATGAAGCACAGATAACTATTAACAGAATAGTTGTCTAATATATATGGTCTAGAACAAGAAACTAACGTGTGGCCATGAGTTTGCTTTTATTTTTGTGCATTAAAATTTTTTACTGATAACTAGACAAGAGAACCACGCAAATGGAAATTTAAACCTACTGAAGAACCTGACACCACATCTTAAATACTATGTGGGAGTAATTTAATTGATATTTTCACTCCAAAATTCATTCTATCTCCATTCATACAAACAGTTTTAGCCAATTTTCTTCATATTCCTTTTTATACATTTTTATATACTCAACCTACTGTCCATTTTATGACACAAGCACCCCCTTTTTCACAAGAGACACTGTTTTAGCATTCCGGGTTTTTGTCTGTTTTGTTGTTTGGTTGGGTTTTTTTTACTGAATTATAAGTTTGCAACAAATACAGTCTAGCAGACATATTTCTCAAGCCCCAGCCTGAAAAACCCTGACCCTCAGGTGATCTTCAGTCTTCCCCAGCTTTGACTAGAGATGTTGGCCAAAATTTCTGTTGCCCTATGTGATACGAGGCCAGGCTACACAGCCTGGTAAGCTAGGCCCA